CTATGCATTACCACTTAAATAAATATTAACAATCACTTCAGTGTACTTAAGTGGTAATCAGTAATCATTTAAATAAATATTAACAATTATTATTACTGCTCTTAAAAAGTCACTGTTTCTGCAAAAACATTTGATTAAAATTAAAAGAGCTTCAAAATCATACCAAATGCTGGTGAAATAGATTACTAAGAAACATAAGTAATCTATTTGTGTGGAAGAATATATCATACAGATGAATTAAAGCGATAGTTATTTGTAGAAAATTTATTGTGTGTTTTTTAACAAGCAAAGTGAAAGAAAAGAAAAACACTTCTCAATACCATTCTATACTAAAGAAATGGGGGCTCCTTGGAAGAACAGCTAATTCTATCTAGGTCTAGGGCAGGGAGAATGCAAAATGAGCTTTGAGCATCCTGTAGTTCGAGAGAGAGAGAGAGAGAGAGAGAGAGAGAGAGAGAGAGAGAGAGAGAGAGGAAGAAGGGGGAGGGAGGGAGAGGAGGAGGAGGAGAGGAAACGTCAAAGGGACACGGGAGCCAACTTAAAAGTGCCCCCAATGGCCAAAACTGGATCAATTTGAATAACGATGAGATTGGACTAACCCAAAGAATAAAATAAACACGCAGGCTCCCATGTTGATGTAAATGATTGGATGAATGGATAAATAGAATAAATCTTCCTTACAGAGATTCCAAATAATATATGTGGATACTCCCCCGGGGCCTCACTTCCACAGAGTACAGAAAGGAAAAAATAATAACTTTCCAGTGAAGGAACTTGCAGACATCACCTTAACCAAAATCCCTAGTGGGAAGTCATGTTGAAATCGTGCTTCCCCTGAAAGGAAGTAATGGAAGGGACACCACAACTCTGCAGTGTTCTTCTCAAACACACCACCAGTCTCGTCCTAGGAAAACTTCAGGCAAGGAAAATGTATATAATGTTCAGTAAGAAAAACCAAACACAAAACTGTATAGAGTATGATCCCCATGTGTATCTGTGTACATACATACACATTCTGTATATGCCACTTAAAATGATCAGAAACGTATATTATTAGAGGTTATTTCAGGAAAATGGAATTATGTCCTTTTAATTTTCTTCTTTAAACTTTCCTGTTGTTCTCAGATCTTCTACAAGTGAAACATTTTTGTGAGAAAAGAGGATCAAAAGTAATTCCTAAGTACTTATTTGTTTACTTTGAGGTTCTATATTCAAATACGTTTTATTTTTTCAAATAAATAGGATAAATAAGTTTCAAATTATATATATTCTTATTTTATATAAATACCTTAGTACATGAAGGTCAATAAAACATATTAATTAGCTAAAACATACAATTTTCCTACATTATAAATATTACATTACCCAAAACATAAGCTATCATTGTACATTATGTACAACCATAACTAAATGAAGTGACATTCTCCTCTCTGTCTCCCGCCTCTCTCTCTCTAAATACACACACACACAAACACACACACACACATGCAGATATAATAATGTATGGATTATTCCATTATTCCATATGATAGATAAATACATAAAATCTAAATGCATAAATGCATACAAGGATATGCACCAACCTATTACCAGTTAATAACATATAGATAGGTAGATAAATGCATGCATAATATCTAAATCTATGCATAAATTCATAGAAGGATATGAACCAACCTATTAACCATTAACATTGGTGATTTCTTGTGTTTGGGCTTCACTTTCTGCATTCTATTTTTCTGTGTTGTTTAACTTCTTCTTAACAATAAACATATATTCCATTTGTAGTAAAAAATAGATCAAAGGTATTTTTTAAAATATTAAAATTTAGATGATAAACAGTTCTTCAAAATACCTTATCTGAATATCTCCAAATTCAGAAAGTAAAGACTAAATAACAACGAAATTTAAAAAAAAAACAAGCCTTCTTTACCATGATGATTTGATGAATTGGGCACATTACCAGCTCTCTGAGTTATTGTTAGAAACGAAATTGTGGAAACACTGTGATTTTGCATTCACTTTTTGACTAGCCATTATTGTTGTTCAGATTGCTTAAACAGTTCAACCATACATATTTAATCACTGCATAGAAAACTTAATTCTAGGGAGTGATAAGCAATCAGGGTAATAGGGGGGAAAAAAGGTGGCTTGTCCCAAAATAAGCACAACATATTATTAGATGTCAAATGAAATTTTAATGTATTTTTGTAGGAAATGGAACTAAACTCTGATGGATTTTACAATATCCCAGGCTCTCTTAAAAGTGTATTTATGTATAAATTATATATCAGAGATGACTTCTAGGAATTTTATAAGTTCACAGCCAATTCTGAGTTCACAGCCACATGCTGATGGTGTGCAAGCATTTAACCCATTCATGGAGCAACAGATTTCACAATGTGGGAGATCTGGCCTGCAAAGTATGTTATCAGTTTCTCTGACCACTGACCACTAACCATTTGTAAGATGAGGCCTGGTCCTCATGAATAGCATTCTTTCACGTTTTTGTTAGTATGCTAGGACTGTCTGAAGAAATAAACCATACTCATTCTTCCTGTCACTTCTTCCATCGCCCTAAAAGTAAGAAAGAAAGGCATGAACATTTGCATAAATCACTATTCTGTACCTGCAGCTGAATGTAGATTTTGATTTAGGAGAAAACATAGGAGAGGTGAATTCTTTCCTCTATCTAAGCTCAAGGAACATTTACTTCCTGAGAGATGAATGGGGAATATTTTATGTCAATTAATATATATTGAAGGTGTATAAAACAATGATGTGTCTATTATTCAACTGTCACCAGTAAGAAATAGACTGCAAAATTACTTTCTAGAGTTCAGAATTTACTCCTTCCTTCTGACTTTTCATTTATGCACTTTTCAAGACAAAAAGTAATTTCTACCCACTGCTGGATTATAAATTCAACCTGGGATCTGATAATCAGATTCTACTTTTTCTCTCTTTTATCTCATCACAGATGATAAAGATAGTACAATTGGAATTCAGCTGTGACAGTATAGATGATTAAGCTAAAGTCTAATTGGCTTTTGCAGTGTTAGCAGAAGCCAACATTTAGTGGCTGATTTTTTCCCCCGTGGTAAAATAAACCTCTGTGATTCACAGTCTCAGAGAACAGAATTCTGTTGATTAAGAAAGTCTTTTTATGGCTATAGAAAGTCTTATAGTAAAGAATTGACTATAAGAATTAAAAAAATTCAAAGTTGTATTTTTATTTCTGAACTGAAATGCAACAATTCTCTAAACTGTTATTTAAAAGCATAAATATTTGAGATAATAGGATAAATATTTTTTAAAACATTCAAAGTCCATTGCCAATTTGAAGGGAAAACAGATTTACTTTTTTTTTTTTAATTTTTTGTTTATTGCAGTAACATTGGTTTATAACATTGTAAAAATTTCAGGTGTACATCATTGTACTTCTATTTCTGCATAGATTACATCATGTTCACCACCAAAATACTAATTACAACCCATCACCACACACATGTACCGAATTATCCCTTTCCCCCTCCTCCCTCCCCCCTTCCCCTCTTAAGTAATGTTTGAAATAGCTGTATTCATGACAATTCACTTTATAGAGTCCGGTAAGAGCAAAACCTGTAATGGCAAGTAGTGCACAATAACAGGGTGGTTGTGGCTATGGTAGCTGTGCACCTGCACTGAAGCTGTCATGAGGTAGCACACTCTCGTTACACGGAAACCGAAGTGTTCCCCACGGTGATTGAAGTAAACACATGCCAGAGAACTAGGACATGAGCTGAGAATATATTTCTCTGACAGGCTTTGAGCTTGCTATTCCCTTTCTCCGCTATCTCCCTGTGGAATTCTTGAGCAAGACCTTGACCCAGACTGAGAGACACGCTTCATCTGGGCTTGTAATTCTCAAGTCATTAGAGCTATCCAGTTTAACTAGGCTTTCTAGGATGTAAAATTAAAAGCTAAAAGAAATGGATTTTAAAAATATTTTTAATGACAAAGGACTAACTATGGTAACTCAGCTTCTATTTGTACTCAAAATTTGATCTAAATGATTACAATTCATCTTGGAGCCATTCCATGGATTGTAAACCCATTATCCAACGGTACACAATAAATAAGACCATCTCATTTTCCATTTCTGATATGAGTAAGTAGCAGTTATAAAACGAATCCCCAGCATCAACTGTTTCTGAGGATGATGACAAAGTTTATATAATTTCATGTCTTCAATGAAATTTCCTAAAATAAAATTAGAACTTTTATAATCATAGTATAGGCTAGACATTTGTGCTTCTATCGCATGTATGGGTGAGGATGTCTTTGTTCAGTGTCATCAAAAACATGGGCAACCCGATTTTCCATTCCAAACGCAAGAGGATAGCAAAGACTTTGAGACAGACATGAGGCCCAGGAGCAAATGGAAAGAAGCTTCTTAAAGTTCAACTAGCTATAAACTCTGAGTCCTACCATAAAGTTTACTCAAAATGTAGTAGAATATATAAACCATTAGAAAAATGAGTATACCATCAAACCCTACATTCCAAGTGCTTTCATTTTCATGGCAAAGAAGAGCAAATTTGTGAGTAAAATGTATATTTGAAAATCATAAGAATTAGCCTCATTTAACAAGGAATATATTAAAATCTCATAATACCTCGTGGATTAAAAATTTTACTTCTTCCAAGTAACCTCTAGAATCCCAAGTTGAAACTGAAGCATACAAATCATTGATGGAATTTATGTTATTAGTATTACCATCGAAGTAAGATTTTATATTGACAGAGGTTTCTATGATCATTCTTTATGAATACTTCCTATACAGTCCACTTTAGGACACACAATAAACCAAATGAAGAAATAGAATAAGAACCCAGGACTCCAGATTTCTCACAAGTACACTTATTTCTCATTTATTCTGTGCAGACACCAGTTGGAAGTGGATCTATTTCACACGGGACGGCAACATACAATAACCGAACTAAAGTGTTATTTATTTCTTATTTTAGGGGCTGATGTTATCAACTTTGATGGCCATGTTGTGTTACCATATAGATTCAGGAACAAGAAGATGAAAACACTAAAAGATGTCATTGCCTTGAAATTTAAAACCACCGAAAGTGAAGGAGTAATCTTGCATGGAGAAGGACAGCAAGGGGATTACATTACTTTGGAACTGAAAAAAGCCAAGCTGGTCTTCAGTTTAAACCTCGGTACGTTCTGACTTTTGGCATCATTCTTTCAATTTATGAATATTTGTATTTGTAATGTTGTTTAACCCTTAAATTGTAAATTATAAAAAACCTCATATTATGCTGTCAATTAATTTTGAATTCATAGTGGTTGGTATATATTGATATACTTATTCATTAAAAAAATTTATTAAACATCTGTACTATGCATATATATACTAGCATGTTAGATACAGTGGTCAACAAATAGAAAGGTCCTTGAATTCGTGACATGTATAACCGAAATTTGTGGAGTTGGACAATATATCAATTATTATCATTTTAAAACAACTAAATCAAAATAAATGACTACAAATAATGATGAGAAGTATGAAATCAATTAAATAGGCTAATATGATAAAGGATACTGCAGAGTCAAGAGAGGTCATCATTAGAATACGTGTTGAGGAAAGTCCTCTCCGAGGAGAAGATATTCAAGCTGAGATCTGAGTAATGATCAAAACTAGCCATGAATATATCAGGGAGAGGAGCATTTCAAAGGCAGGAATCCCTAAAGACAAAGACCTGGCATGCTCAAGGAGCAGGAAGGAGGCTAGTGTGGATAGACTGGCGAGCAAGTGGGAGAGAACATGAAATCCGAAAGTTAGGGATTGTTCAAATCCTGTAAGATCGTGTAGAGCATGATAAAGGGTTCAGATATATATATATTTTTTAAGAATGAGAAGCTAGTGGTAGGCTTTAAACTATATTGCATCATGATATTTAAAAAGTTTACTGAGACTTCTGTAAGAGAAAATACTTGTATCAGTATGACAGTCAAAGCCAGACTTCGGCATAGTACAAGTGAGTGTCGGCACTGGCTTGCAGGAGGTGACTCTCAGTGGGGATGCAGAGAAACGTGTCTTCTTGCGAGATGATTTTAGTGGTAAATTCAGCATGATTTGTAGTGGATTGGGTATGGAGTAAGAAGGAAAGAGAATAAATAAAGGATAATTCCTAAAGTATGGGCTCGAGTTCCAAATGGACATTAGTGCCATTTTCAGAAGTAGAGAAAATTCTTTTCTCTATAGAATTTCGTCTAATAGAGGAATTATTAGTTTCCTCTAAAAGAGGAACTCTGGAAATCCGTTTGGACATGGTGAATTTTAGTTGCCTATTAGACATCAAAGTTGAGATTTCTGTGAGGGAGTTGCACATATGAGATGAGATGAGAAGGTGCTAAACGGAGACTGAGGAGAAGTGGACAGTGAATGGGAAGAAATAAGAACATGCGGTATCATAGAGATGAGGGAAAGAAAAGAGGTGGTCTGTGTTGAATTCACCTAAAACGTCACATAAGATGAAGACAGAAAGGTAAATATTGGCTTAGGCCACATAGAGGTTACTGTTGATTTACTCTCAGGGGAATAGAAAGGACAGTAGTTTTATTGTCATAGGTTAAGGAAAGGTGAGAGATGTGGAAATGAATGTTTCAAATATAAACAACTAGAAATGAAGGAATAAGGGAAATGAACTGTTGGCTGGAGAATAAGTTTGACTCAATGAAGGAGTTACTGCTTTGTTTTGGGTTTTGTTGTTTTTTGTAACTCTCTTGCTGGGCTAAAAGTTTCAGGATTTATGCAAAAATTGTTTGAAGAGCATCAGACAGTCTATAAATTCTTCTGTTGTAAAAATATGAGAACTTGGGGCTGGCCCCATGGTGTAGCGGTTAAGTGTGCGCGCTCTGCTCCTGGCGGCCCAGGTTCAGATCCCGGCGCGCACTGATGCACCCCTTGTCAAGCCATGCTGTGGTGGCGTCCCATATAAAGTAGAGGAAGATGGCACGGCTGTTAGCCCAGGGCCAGTCTTCCTCAGCAAAAAGAGGAGGATCGGCGTGGATGTTAGCTCAGGGCTGATCTTCCTCACACACACACAAAAAATTAAAACTCTACAAAAATTTAATAATCTAAAATATATTAATAACTAAAATGCACATGTTAAATGTATCCTAATAGAAAGCTACAAAACTAAAGATTAGAACACATTAACAGATCCTGTCCTTTGACTTACATATCAATCTAAATGGTCCAAGCATTCCTGAATACTGCTTGTGTCCCATATATTAAATTTGATGACTTTGAAAATCAGTATTATACTAAAAAATGCAATTTCAATTAGTTTTTTGTTGGTAATGCATGATACAGTGTCTACAAAGTTATACCCTTTATTATAAAACTTTTCTCATTCAAAATCTAATCTAATAGAAATAATAGCTTCTATAAGAATAAAAGAAGAAAATCATACAAAAAAGCTGGATCACTTAATTGTACAAAAATATTCAATTTTTTACATTAAAATAATCACAAAATTGAAAAAAAAACCCAAAACCTGGGAACATGTAAATGTCAAATACAGAAGTTTAATGTCATTCATGAACAAGAATTCATACCACTCTATAAGAATACCAAGACTTTAAGAGAAAATATAGGCATAAGACATAAAAGATAATTTACAGAAGAAAAATTATAGATAGTCTATAAATATGGAATGCTCAACCACAGTATCTATAAAAGACATACCCAATAAAATAACAAGATTCCAATTTTTGTCAAGTATTTAAACCAGTTTTAAAATAATATCAGTATTGGTAAGTATGTGACAGGATTCTTCGTACTGTTCTCTGCATCAGAAAATATTTTCAGGAAAACAGTTTGGCAGTATGTCTTTAGATATCTAAAAATTCCTTATAGATTTTAGTCCAACAATCATAAGGAAATAATGAGAAATGACGGCAGGATTTAAGTCTAGGAATGTACTTTGCAATATGAATTACAATGTCAAAAATTGAAAAAAAAACGCTAAACATATAGAACTGTGTTGATATGCATTTAAAGTGTCTGTGAATACTTTTAATTTTATGAGAAATACTATATACATTAAATGAAAACTGTAGTGTAAAAATATTATAAATAATATATGAATATTTTCATATTATATATTTATACATAAGTGTGTGTGTATATATATACACATTTATATATATAATAAAATGTATATATACGGAAAAAAATCTGGAAGGAAATAGATCAAACTATTTTTAGTGGTGGAATGAATGATTAACATTTTACAATTAATTCTTCATAGTATTCTCAACTTATAATAATGAATGTGTATTCATGTATTACTTGAGGAAAAAAGAACCTAGACCATTTTTGCAACAAGGTTCAATACAAGATAAGAAAGAGAGATGGGTGGAGGGATAGTAGAAAACAAAATATAAGTACTTTTTGAAAATATACACACACACGCACACACGCACACACACACTCAGAGCGATTGGATTATACGTAAGGATGTTTATTTTTTAAAACCTTCTCCTTTTGAAAAAAAAAATGAAACGTATAGAGTAGCCTTTTAAAAGACACCGTGCTTTATAAAGGTGTGACATTACTGTTCTGAAACTAGTAACTGATCATATGACCTCACAAAAAAGATCATTACCATTTCACTGGAAAGCAGTTTACTTTCAGTTTTATTGACTGACTGGAATTGACGACAGTCACGGAAATACATTCATTCAAATACCCACTGTCGCTCTTTAATGCCATTACCTAAACATCGGACATATCTAGCTGCTGCTCAGTCTTCTAAACATTTAAAGTAATAAAATTGAGTGTAGCCTTTCACTTAGATGCAGTCTTACTTTTCTTTCTCCCTCCCCTCCCCCACACATACATACACAATCTTGATCACAGTCACAAGCCCACATCAACATTTGATTTCATCACCAAAAGGGAAGAAAATTTGGTCTAGGAAAATTATAGAAAATGTCAGACACAGGCAACATGAGCATCTTAAATGTGAAAAAAAAAAAGGAAATAATTTAATGCTCCAGTCAATTGTGTATTTCTCTTGTTTCTGTTATGCTATTTATTCTGAAACCATATTATATTTTGATAGCATTTAGTTTTGCCTGACCATAAGAAGCAACACTTGATTAGACAAAAGAGAAAATGGCATAAAATATGTAAACAGTATCCAGAGATGACCTTAGTAAACATTTTGGATTCTCACAACCTCTCACGCTTATTATTTATAGTCTCGTTGCTGTGGAGACCTTCTTTGAAAACTAGATTAATGTTATGTATATATTTTTGCAGGTTTTTATTTTAAAGTATAACTTGAGTAACCTCATTTTTTTCTTTTTAAAGGAGCAGACGTTTTTCCACCTTTAATAACTTTTATGTGTTTTGAATATAAAGATTTTTTAAGGGGCCAGCCTGGTGGCACAGCGGTTAAGTGCGTGCACTCCGCTTAGGTGGCCCGGGTTCACATGTTCAGATCCCGGTCGCGGACCCATGCACCCCTTGTCAAGCCATGATGCGGCGGGGTCCCATATAAAGTAAAGGAAGATGGGCACGGATGTTAGCCCAGGGCCAATCTTCCTCAGCAAAAAAAAAAAAAAAAAAAAGAGGAGGATTGGCATCAGATGTTAGTCAGGGCTAGTCTTCCTCAAACAAAAAGAGAAATATTTAAGTATACTTCCATGACGGTTTCCCCATGTTGACTTCAATAGGCAGAGCTTTAGTGGAACGTCAGCTGGTAGCGTTGTAAATGAGCTTCTGCTGCTACACGGAGTCAGCCCTGGCGTCATTGCCTTGTTTCTCTTCCACTCCTGTGACTCAGGAAGCAACCAGCTTGGCCCCATCTATGGCCACACGTCCGTGATGACAGGGAGTCTGCTGGATGATCACCACTGGCACTCTGTGGTCATTGAGCGCCAGGGCCGGAGCATTAACCTCACCCTGGACAGGAGCATGCAGCACTTCCGCACCAATGGAGAGTTCGACTACCTGGACTTGGACTATGAGGTAAACTTGAGCACGTATACACTGTGACAGATGTTGAGTGGCTGCCACAGTCTCCTCCTGTATTGTTGTATCATCGTTAATCGCATACCTTCCTACACAGTTTCATTTTATTCTCCAAAGAAAAATTAACTTACAAGTTAAAACCTGATTTATTAAGATGTGTCATTTTGTTCATTTCTAAATTTTTAATTGTGAGCATTTGAAATATTTTTAAAAGCTTAGTACCAAAGTAATAGTTCGAAAAGAGGGGCCATTTGTCATGTCATCAGGGCCATTTAATAAATCCAGAATAAATATATTATAATTTTCCATTCATAGTTAATTATAATATAAATTCCCTATTCTTCTTGAGGATGTACAGAATATTACAAACACAGAGTTGCCTAATATGTATTACAAAATAATGAATAAGAAATCCTGAGTTCTGATTTATATTTTCATTTACAAATTCATGACTGTAACTAGTTCTTTGGACAAATTCTATTTTCACAGATATAACTATCATAAAAGAAATAAAGTAAAATATAGAATATTTTAGAGAGATTGTCCATAATTAAAAGAATGTATTTTACCTTCCAAATGATCAAAGATCAAAAAATAACCAGTGATTGTGTTGGTCCAGTAAAAACTATATATTCCCATATTATATGGGTAGGCATTTCAATTTTTTCAATAAATTATTTGGAGAGCAATCCAATTTTAAAACGCCCATCAAAAATGTTAATTATATATAGACATAAGAATTCTGTAAGAAGATGTTCATCACAGTGTTATATATACTAAGGGAAAAGGGGTAACACTAAATGAATGAAAAAAGTATAGCAGTAAAATAAATACATAGGATGAAATATTATTCAGCAAGAGGTTTCCAAACTTTCTTTCTTCATGGAACCCTTAGTGTCTTATTACTTTTTTCACAACCATCCTAGATCATTCTATAATAGGTAGATCCAAACAACTTGATAAATGTTTATGTTCTAACAACTTGGTAGCCATTTGAAAAAAAAAATACACAGAAAATAAAAGAAAAATTATATTTTTATTTCTTCTTAAAATAATAATAATCACTAAGGAGATGAGTGAACCTGCACTGAACAACTTCTCAGATTTTGGAATCAGATTTGACACTGCCCTCCTCATTTTCTGTTCCACTTTTACTTTCATGTGACACTGTTTTTATCACAGCAGTGGCAAAAGACCCAACTTCACAAAGACAGGACATCATCAAAAGCAATGTAGCAGGATATTGGAATGGTGAACTACCTCTAACCAGTGTTTCATATGATGTCCAGAAGGTATCAAGAATTGCTGTCAAGTATATTGTGGCACCCTATAAGTTTGCTGTGCCACCTCAGTGTACCCTGAAATTGTGTATATACATATATAAATCTATGTCTATACACACACATGTGTATGTGTGCTATCAATATCTATATATAAATTTTTAAGACTATGGAATATGCTCACCATAAAATAAGTGAAAAAGTCAAGGTTTATAGCTGTGTTTTCTATTTTCTTTATATGTTTAGTTTCTAAATTTTCTGCGAGGTGAATATATTACATATATTCCTAAATAGGAATTTAAAATAGATTAGGCTATATAAACCCTGATATGGGGACCTTATTAACATTAAAATAAATTTAAGATTATAGGGAAATAATTACTGCCCCCTCCCCCCAAAAAATCTCTTTAAAGCAAAATGATTATTGAAAGGTAAAGAATGTGAAAGTCCCAGAAATTTCTATCTTCTCTAAAGTAGTACAATTTTTAGGTGACTTATCTCCCACTGTATGAGAGAATTTAGAGATGAATTATTCATTCTCCATTAATAAACTTTGAAGTACCATAGAAAAGGTGAGAAATCCTGGAACATTAGCAATGGGCAAACACAATTCCAATGTTCAAAAAACAGAATTAAAACTTGGAGGTCATAGACCCTACTGAGTTTATGATGAAATCTATGAATGTTCATGCCCATACAATGCTTTCATACAGGGTCAGCAGTTTCATGGATACTTTGAAGCTCATCGATATACAGTACCTTGTTTGAGAACCTCAGCTGTAGACTAAAATGCTTGAGACATATTTGTTAGAGAGAGACATTAGGAAGAAATTGAAATTTACTAAGAATCCAGATAGACTCAATTTATTTCTCTACTGCCTGTTCTCTCCTCTTAGATCCTGCAGTTAGTGACATAAGCTACAGCAAAAGTGGTTGGGCCCACTTTATATCTCTACACCTTTATCTTAATATAAAGGGATTATCTTTCTTTATTTGTTTAAAGAAAATTAGGAACTGTAGTAGAGTCAGTCTCAGTGTTTTTGCAAGTATCTCCTTGACTCACCCATCAGTAACTAGACTGGAACCTCAAAAAGAGCTTGTTTTGAATAGCAAAAGACTCCTATTATTCAGGAAATTCCAAGGATTTTGGGAGCTCTGTGCCTGGAACTGAGGACAAAGACCAAATATATTTGTTATACAGTAGTTCCATCATATAAACACAATAAATGTAAATAACCTCAAGAACGTATATGATAGTGAGTTCTGAGTAGTTATTAATTTTTTGTTCAATATAATTTGTTTAATGTAAGGCTTGTGTAATTTAATTTTTAATAATGGCTCTGCTTAACAATCAGTTCTCATGAGCCATATGAGCAGGATCCAGCACACCAATACTAGGGGTTAATTAAATAACACCTATCACCATTCCCAGAGATGTACATCATGAAAGAAGCAACAGAAAACAAATTTGCTCCTTTGATGTAACTTGATGTGGGCATTTTTTGTGGAAGACAGCGTAAGTTTGCCTCACTCACCTCTCTGTAGCCTGTTTACACCACATAGTGAGACATCCACCCTTTGCAGTCAAGCTTCTAGCTGCATGGTGAGCAGAGGAGGGTGCAGCAGTAGACAGATGCGCTACACTCCATCCTTCCTCCTCTCAGCCGGTGAAACCACAGGCAGGATGGCAGACTGGTGTTTGGCCTGGCTTCTCTCTCTTCTTCATCTGAATTCCAAGAGGTAGCCACTTGGATGTTATGCCCTTGCCTTTGTATTGCAGCTCTGCTGGGAAAGGAGAGGAACGACTCCCCCCTTGTCTGTTGCAGAACCTGACTAGGATTTTACAGGGAAATTGGTTAGGATTTTGGAGAGAATCAGTTGTGTGGGCTCAAACTGGAGCGAAAAGCCTAGGTTTGAATCCTTTTTTGCCCCTTACTGGTTGGGTGACACTGGACAAATCATGTTCTCCTTCTATAAAATGAATGTAATAGCACATTTCTCATAAGGTTATGTGAGGAGGCAACAGGAAGAAATAGAAATCGCCGTACATATCAGTGACAACTAATTAGCCTGCATATGACAGACGCGTGTTTATTCTCTTTCATACGAAGGAGCCTGTAGACAGGTAGCCCTGGCCTCAGACGGCAGCATCATGGTCATGAAGACCCCAGTCCACTTTTATCTTGCTGTGACTCCATCCCCACTGCAGATCACTCCAAGATGGCGACTCACATTCCATCTTGAATTCCAGCCAGTGGGAAGGAAGAGAGAGTGAAGAAGGTTTTGCCGCTTCCTCCCTTTAATTATAGTTCTTGGTCACACACAGCCCTTCCACTTAAATCCCGTGAGACCAAAACTTGCTTCAAAGAGGTTGGCAAATGCCATATATTGGCTGGGGAGCATCTGTGCAGCTGAAAGCAATTTTTTTTTCCTAAAGAAGCAGGGAGAAAGGATACTGTGAAGTATCTAGTAGTCTCTGCCACATATTGTAAATTCTTGGTAGCTAACAAAATGGTTAATGCAGTTATTTTTTAGAGCCAAGGTTGTCACTGAATGGCAATGTCATTAATAAGTCAATCATATGAGTCATATGAATATCTGATTATTAATTCAACAAGTGCAACAGTTTTTTACTATCAGATATTACAATATCAGAGAGTATTTTGTGGTCCAGCCACTTCGTTTTACTGATGAGAATACATAACCAGAAAGAAGACATGAGAGCCTAGTATCATATGATTAGTTAGGTTAGGAATTGGGATTTGAACCCACATCTCTTAGTTGTAAGGAATCTGATAAACTGAGGCTGTGATGCTTCATCAGGGCACCTTCCATAAGGTAGGACACGTGCCCAGGGTTGTTGAAAGTAGAGAAACATAAGGAGTGTTTGAATCATCATCACAAAGGAAAATGAAAGTCCCAAAATAAAGAAACTACGCATGCAAAAAAGGAATAAAACAATACATTTAGGGGCTTGCCCCGTGGCTTAGCGGTTAAGTGTGCGCGCTCCGCTACTGGCGGCCGGGGTTCGGATCCAGACGCACACTGACGCACAGCTTGTCCGGCCATGCTGAGGCGGCGCCCCACAAACAGCAACTAGAAGGATGTGCAACTATGACATACAACTATCTACTGGGGCTTTGGGGGGAAAAAGGGGAAAAAAGGAGGAGGATTGGCAATAGATGTTAGCTCAGGGCCGGTCTTCCTCAGCAAAAAGAGGAGGACTAGCATGGATGTTAGCTCAGGGCTGATCTTCCTCACAAAAACAAAACAAAACAAAACAATACTTTAAAACTAGTATTTAGTAATATTATTCAAAATGGCAAGCTGCATGTCATTAAGCATAGAAGATTTTATTACTGTCAGCTGGGGAAATAATTGATAAAATAAACTGTGGACAGGAAATACAGCACTCCATTAAGTATCGATAATTCTTACCATTGCTATTAGTGACACCTATATAGTACCTAGTAAGTTCAGTTCAGTGCCATTTGAAAATATCTTCCTCAATAATTCTACTGTCGTAAATTACTCTCTATAGCTACCTCATTCCTTTTTATATATTCATTCTCAGTTTTCCTCTTTTATTCCTATATATAAACTCTATGGGAAATGATATATATTCAGCTAACCATTATTAATAAATTTAATTTAATTAAGTGAGATCTTTTGGGTTTTTTTTTTCTTTTGTGAGGAAGACCAATCCTGAGCTAACATCCGATGCCAATCCTCCTCTTTTTTTTTTTTGCTGAGGAAGACTGGCCCTGGGCTAACATCCATGCCCACCTTCTTCTACTTTATATGGGACGCCGCCACAGCATGGCTTAACAAGCGGTGCATCAGTCCACGCCCGGGATCAGAACCGGCAAATCCCGGGCCTCAGCAGCAGAGTGTGCACACTGAACCGCTTGTGCCACAAGGCCGGCACCTTATGGTTTTTTATATTGTCTCATAAACCATCATTAATCTGTGCTTTTTTTTCTTTAAAACTAATTAAGCATTTAAAATGCCATGACCCTAAATAATAGAACATAATTTGCTAATGGCCTCCTAGAACACAAGGATCTTTGTCTTATGTTTCAAATATCAAGTCCTGACATTTAAAAATGTCTTAAGTATTGCTTTAATTTTTAAAACTTTATAACAAATATTGATAATGGTTGAATAATAATTCAAAGTGATATAACATCTGCCTTATGTATCTTGGTATTACAGCTATGAGTAGTAGATTCATTTACTACTAATTCACTATTAGCAGTAAATGTCATTATTGGCAATACATAATTAAGTATAATTTCACATTACATGAAATTGTTAGTACAATACTGTAATTTGACCAAAGATATATGTAAATGTACATACTGTCTTTTTATAGGTGATGGTAGCTAGAAAATCACAGGAAGGAGCATTCACCTTATTCCTTAGGGTTTAGAAGGACTATAATATCTTTAAGCCTGTACTTCTCAAATTATAGCCCCCAGGTCCTAAAGTGTTCCTAATCAATCTAGTAATGAGAATTTTTGAACCATTTTCTGTGTTTAAAAAGAGTTTAATGAATTTTTGATTCTAATGGTCATTAGACTACAATAACTCTGTATGGGGTCAATACAATATTCCTTGCCTTTGGCTGCAGTTGTATCAACTTATATTTGGCCATGTATCTCATGATGACTAGAAGCATTTATTGATAGCATGTCTTTGAATGATAAACATAAAAATGTATTTTTAATATTAATAAAAGATATTTGTTGTATAAAATCTTTTAAAACATTCTCTGGAAAATTTATAAAGCGCATTTCAGGTAGCAAAAAAGCAAGGGATTGTTGCTATTTTCTTTTTCAAGTTATAATCTAATTGTCAGAACTAGTGATACTATTATGCTCTTCAATAATGACAATTTAATATGCAACAGATTTTGGAGGCAGAAAAAATGTTTGTATATATTGGTTGAGGTAAGGATAACTGACCTTGGCTGTATTAATAGTTTTGTCTAACTTATAGGGAATGTTGTTATCTTTTTAAAGTTGAATACAGTGTGAATACTTACTTTTTTTTTTTTTTCTCAAAGATAACTTTTGGAGGCATACCCTTCTCTGGTAAGCCAAGTTCCAGTAGTAGAAAGAATTTCAAAGGCTGCATGGAAAGCATTAACTACAATGGCATCAACATAACTGATCTTGCGAGAAGGAAGAAGCTAGAGCCCTCAAATGTGGTAAGATTTTTCACCCCCAAAATATTGGCTCATAGAAAAATCAAAGAAATTTTGTTTTCTATGGACTATTGAACAACAATGACAACAACAACATAGCATTTTTCATCATTCTTATGTGGACTCAGCAGCATAGAATTAACTTTACAGTACCTGAAAATGTGTAGATAAGGGATATACTCTGAGAATAGATACTGGCTTTTGTGTTAAATTAACCTGAAATAGACAGTAAATTTTATTCAAATGCAGCATAGCATTTTAGCCTTGGTGTTTCTGGATTCCCCATGCAGAGGAACAGGCATATTTCAGTATATGCTTCATCCCTGCAGTTCAGCACCCCATAAACTGGCAGCATCGTATTTCCAAATGTCTCATCACATCTGGCTCTACATTTCTTGCTTAGGATTTAAGTCAATATTTTATTCAGTATTTAAAACTTTATTAACACTTCCATGTTTCCAAAGATAATTCATCCAAATATGTAAATAAATATACTTTTTGTCAAAGCTCTAAACATACTAAATATTATGCAGTTAAATAAAGATGCATTCCCATTGGATGGTGTCAGCTGTGACACAGAGCTCACAGTGGTCTTCTGTCTCTGGTGTGAGTTGTTTCCAGGTTTAAATATTTCAAGGAGGAGAGCAAAAATCAAAGAACACCCTAGCATGCTTGCTTCCCCATGACACTGCTTAGGATCATTAAAAGATATAACTTAAAAATCTAGTATGTGTGTTCCCTACAGTTCTGCAAGAACAAGAGCTACTTCACCCCAGAATGTTATTTGGGAGAGCCTGAGATTCCAGACACGCATACATTTGAGAGCCACTGGAAGTAGACAATATCGTTACTATTTGAACTTCATTCTCAAAGAGCTCTCATGGTCTTGTTGCCCCACATTTGAGCCTAGGGTTTTCATAAAATAATCGGATAAATGAAAATCTTCTAATGAATAAATAGAGTTCAGGTTGGGTTTAAGAGACTATAAAACAATAAATTAATATAAAAATTTTTCTTTAATAATCATTTTTCTTAAAAGTGATAATGAATTTATACTAAGAGTAAAAAACTGAACTTTGATGAAGTTATCTCATAAAGCATATTGACCACAGAGAAAAATAGTAATAGCTCCATTTAAAGGCAACAGGCACAGTGCTTAGACCTATTACATTTGTGATAATCTGAGAACAATGCTACAAGAGAGATATTATCATAAACATTTTGTAGATGAAAAGACTGAGATTTAACCTGGAAAAAATAACTTTCCCAAGTGACTGAATGTGAGTGGCAAACATAGACTGTAGATTCACAATATATGACCCCTGGGGTCATGGTCTCCTTCCATGCTGTGTCATTTCTTATCTAGAGCAGTATTAACTTATATGCTACTTTAAGCTTTGGATAAAATGGCACCAGGGTCCTTTTGTTTTCTCAGAAATTGTTGCTTAAGATAAAAAGGTGCACAATCCAAATCATCAGAATACTCTTTCCATTATTTGCACCTTTAAGGAGAGGTAAAGTGTTATTTCTGCCCAAACCTCCTAGTTGGTCCTCAGACGTATCCATTAGGTACCCAAACCACAGAGAATTGCACTATGGAGACTCATTCCAAAATTGACTTTAATTGCAAAATACATTGTGGTTATAAATGCTATTTCAACTTGAATAACAAAGATATTTAGTAAAGCATAAATTATCTATAATTATATTTGTTAGAATAGAACGAGCAGACATAGAATAAACTCTTAAACAAAAAATACATACATATTAAAATTTTAGGCAGGATAGAGACAAGTAGAACATTTTGCAAGCAGCTCTGCAAAGGCAAATATTTATGAGTAAATTTGCTTTCAAAGATGTCAGGTGCTGATATTTCAGTGAAATTGACTCAGCACTTGTCCTGCACCCCTCGCCGTAGACACACCTGTTCCCTCATGATGCATTTACTCCAGAGTCAGCACCATTACTCAGAAAGACCTTTAATTTTGCCAGGAGACAATCCCCACAACACAGGTTTGTGGTCAGTTATAACATCTTGCTTATTATGCATAGACAGTTCTTTTCATCGGTAAAAATAAGCATTTAAAAATAATCACCTGTGAAGGTACAGTGCAAATTTAATTTGAATATAATTCAGAGAGACAGCCTGCCTTATATTTAATGGTTAATGTGCTGAACTGGAAGAACCGTGCATCCAGGGATAGATATATGGTGGTGTAAAAAAAAAAAAAGAAGGATCAGATGACTGGGTCATCAAATTATATTCTTCAAAATATTATGATGAGGTTGAAGCTGGAAGCAAATGTAGATTTTCAAATCTTTAAAAGGAAGGTACTTAGACACTGGAATATAAAATTCAGTGTATCTGAATGGTAAATCAAATTTCTGTGTGCCAAGTAAAGGGAGTGTGAGGGAGAAGGAGTAGGCTTTAATGACTGCAAGTTTTGTTTTCAGTTTGTATATTCATGCCACTGTTTCCACAACCATTAAGGCATTATGATATATGCACACTTCATGGGAATTTAAATGGGATTTTGAGTTGAATAACAAAATAATCTGAAATAATCACAGTTACGCTAATGCTAAATAGTTAATATTAATTCACGTTTATTGGGTATGGGGATAAAACCCAAGAATATTTGTCTCATGGTATTAGTTTGATAAACAACGACCAAATGACTATAGTTCGCACTGAGACCAGTAAGTAATATGTTAATAGACATTTGACATAGGCCATCCAGAAGAGGACAGTGGCATCTCCTCCCTGGCTGATGCAACATCAGTAATAGGGGAGGAGAGCAGTTCTTTGCTGTCTGCAGAAAGTGCAGTGGTCCACACTCAAGCCCACAGCACAGGGACACATGCCGGGTCAAACTATCACAGCAGGCTGTCAGTCTGTCAGTTCCATGATGGATGGTGCTTGTTACATCCCTAACTTGATGGCCGACTACTGCACCCTGTTAACACACTCCAAGTAGATTTATGCCGAGGTTTCCAACTGCTGAATCCGTGTCATGCTGCTGTGTGTGCGAGTTTGGCACAGGCTCAAGCTGTTGAAATTTGTAAAACTATAGCTTTGACTGCTGTCTTACATGGATGCTTATTTTATTTTGCATTTGCCTCAAAGCATGCCCTTCTGTTTTCTAGGGAAATTTGAGTTTCTCCTGTGTGGAGCCCTACACAGTGCCTGTCTTTTTCAACGCTACCAGTTACCTGGAGGTCCCCGGACGGCTGAACCAGGACCTGTTTTCGGTCATTTTCCAGTTCAGGACTTGGAACCCCAATGGTCTCCTGCTTTTCAGTCACTTTGCGGATAATTTGGGCAACGTGGAGATTGACCTCACTGAAAGCAAAGTTGGCGTTCACATCAACGTCACACAGACCAAGATGAGCCAAATAGACATTTCCTCAGGTCAGTGAAATCCATTTGATGTCTTCTCCTGCAACTGCTATTACTGTTTCCACAGACAACCTTGGATTTGTGCTGTTTTGTTTTGTTGGTGTTACATGCTCCTGGATATGTTTGGAGTCTGACGTTTGAGATACTTGGTTGGTGTGAGTGCTGGTTGCATAAGAGAAACTTGGAAACTTGCTGAGAGGGTGAGGGCTGGGTGGGGAGGAAAGTTGGTTGAGACTGTCTTAGAGCACCGAAATCTTCTGTTTCTTACAAATAGCAGTTCATATTTAGTAGAGCAATGGCTATTTCTCTAAGTGTATTTTTAAAAAAAAAAAACAAAGAATGTTCATTTTACTAACAGAGTATCTGGTATCTTGTGACTTCATCGACATTCAAATATCTTTTACTATTAGTGACAAGAGTATATTAATTTAATTATGACTTTAAAGGTATATTCAACTGCCTGAATCAAAACTTCAAAGTGACCTTGCCAAATTTATGCAAACTGTCAGAAAAAAAAGAACAAAACAACAAGGGGTGAATACAAAGGGAAATGACAAAGATGTACGTATCGACTGAGGGAAGACTGGCCTGGCTGAGGAGGGTGATTTTTAACCTTGACATCATCATGTATGATAAACTGAGGCTTAGGTGATATTGCTGTTATTTGAAAAAGCTTAGCAATCTTGGAATATTCTTTGATTAATGTGGTGCAAAGAGAGCTGAGATTGCAAAGTGAGGTGTTACAAACAAAGAAAAATTAGACATAATGTTTGACGGATAAATAGCAAAATTTTTCACCAAATTTCTCTAGATGTTCCTCACAAAAGTTGTTTTTATTTTGTGAAGAGCTTCTTAGAAGTAGAAGACAGAAAACTAACATCACTGAGCACCTTGTACAGATGCACCAAGTACATGAGAGGAAGCTGAACTGCGCGACCGCTGGCTCTGATTTCTAAGTATTCATGTCCACTGGTGTCACCATATGCACACCCCTGACACAGTTTCTACCACGTTGCGTTATTTGTGTCCATCTCACTTCCCCTCTAGGCCATCAGCTCCTTGAGGGCAGTGGCCATGCCCATTCTTCCACGTCTAGCATATGGAACAGTTCCTATAATATAAGAGGTGCTCCAGCAATGTCTGTCGAGCTCAACACTGTGGCCCTTTGAACTAGTGTTCACTAACAGACCATGTCTTGCTAAAGGACATATGTCTTTTGTAAAATAGGCTTTGTGCTTCTGTATGGCATGGTTGTATAGACTGTTACTGAAAGGGCTTCAAAGAAGACATAGGAACCTTTATGTCAGAGGTGTATCTGAATTATTGAACTCAAAAGCTATTGGAAAATACCTAGATACTTACTTTTTTCTGTTTTTGCTTTGTTAGTTTTGCTTTTTCCCTGAATGTTCAGAGTCAAAATGATTAATCCCCATATTTCATCACTACTTTCCAGTATCAATTCACCTGGGGAGATTTAGAGCAAATAGAAAACATCTGGAGAGACCAGAAAAACACATGAAACAAATCAACATACACATAGTTACCACAGTTGAAAAACTCCCCACTGGATTCAGTTATGATTAATGATTCTTTTGTAATGACTAAACACATAAAATGTAAGTATAAAGCCCTCCTTCCTGGCATTGTCTGAGCAAACCCAACTTCCTGTGGGTTTTCCATGTAATAAGAACCATTATAATGGAAAAAATAGGATCTTAAACATAGTGATCAATGAATATTTACTAATTTAATTTGGTCTAGTTTAGGACTCTGGGATACTCTCATCTAATTTAAACTATGTTTATTAAAAAAATGAAAGAAAGAACAAGGGAATCCAATTTTCAACAACTAATTTACCTGAATAGATTTGCTTAAAAATGATAAAAGTGGACTTTAGAAATTTTTGTCAATTTAGCCAAGAATCTGTGCAAATTAAGGGAAACTGATATGAAATTGAAACATTTCTATAGTCTAAGTCTTATAAATTTCAATGAAAATACCTTAATGTTTCAAATATTTCCTTTTTTTCCTATACACATAGTGGAAACTAAGATCTCATCAGTTGTCATTGCTCATGTTTGAGAAAGATTAGTCAGTAAACCTATACATATACATATACATATTAAAAAGTTGTATCTTGGGCCAGCCCCTGTGGCCTAGTGGTTAAGTTCAGCATGCTCTGCTTTGGCGGCCTGGGTTCAGTTCCTGGGTGCAGACCTACACTGCTCTGTTAGCAGCCCTGCTCTGCTGGCAGCCCACATACTGAAAAGCAGAGGAAGATTGGCACAGTTGGCACTTCAGGGCGAATCTTCCTCAGGGAGAAAAGAAAAGTTGTATCTTGTCCTCATTTAAACTGTGCATATTAAAAAGTAAAGGAAAGAAAGAACCAAGGAATTCAATATGCCTCAATTACATTCATTCATAGCCAGCCCCGGTGGTCTAGTGGTTAAGAGCTGGTGCTCTCATCGCTGCAGCCCTGATTTGTTTCCTGGTCAGGGAGCCACACCACCCATCTGTCAGTTGTCATACTGTGGTGGCTGCATGTTGCTGTGATGCTGAAAGCTATGCCACCAGTATTTCATATACCAGCAGGGTCACTTATGCTGGACAAGTTTCAGCAGAGCTTCCAGACTAAGACAGACTAGGAAGAAGGACCTGGCCACCCACTTCCAAAAAAACTGGCCATGAAAACCCTATGAATAGCAGCAGAGCATTGTCTGATGTAGTGCTGGAAGGTGAGAGTATGGCGCAAAGAGACTGGGCGGGGTTCAGCTCTGCTGTACACAGGGGCTCTAGAAGTCAGAATAGACTCTATGGCACAATGACAAACATTCATTCATCCTACAAATAATATGGAGTCCATAGAAGACAATTTTCATCTGTTTTTTGATGTTTTGCCAAATTCAATTAAATGTATGAGTAAGTTAATATAAGTAGCAACACTGAGAAAATAATTAATTTAGAAAGATAAGTTAACCCAGGGTACTAATGTTTCCTTTAACAAAAGGGAAATAGTTCTGTGTTATGTCTACCCCATTCTTCTTCATTTTTTTTTTTTTTTTTTGGTGGGGAAAATTAGCCCTGAGCTAACATCCATTGCCAATCTTCCTCTTTTTGCTGAGGGAAATTAGCCCTAAGCTAACATCTGTGCCCATCTTCTTCTATTTTGTATGTAGGACGCCTCCACGGCACGGCCTGATGAGTGGTGTGCAAGTCTGCACCTGGGATCCAAACCCATGAACCCTGGGCTGCCAAAGTGGAGTGTGCGAACTTAACCACTACACCTCTGGGCCAGCCCCATCTATCCTGTTCTTATAAATAGCATTAGCATTGAAGAATGTCAATCCTTTTTTATTTCTTTTTTGAAATAGCTTGGTTGCAAAAATGTAGAAGATACAGAAAATCTAGAAGAGGGAAATACCAATAACAGTTTGGTGTACACACACACACACACACACACACACACACACAACTTCTAAATATAAGTTCTGTGGTCCAGGATAAAGTTAACTCATTTAATTCATAGGCCTTTTTATTCCATCTTGGACAACATTGTTCTTTGGTGAAGAATTCAAAGAAAATGCTTTAAGTTAGAGAATATTCAATATATTATTCACCCCCTTCTTGTATTTTTTTCCTCCAAGTCATGATTAATTTTCAAGTCTCATTAGTCATTGACAGTGGACTCAACTTGTAAAATTCAATCGAACTCTGAGTAACCTTGAATTTGCAGAATAGGTTATCTTTCTGTGAAAATATTTTCCAAGTTGCAACACCAACTTTCATAAATCAATCTACTATAATTATCTCTATTTAGAATAATTGTTACTGACTAGTGACTACATATTTATGCAATACCTTTAACTAGGAATAAGTGGTAAAAGGAGAAAAAAAACAGGTGCTAAAAGGGTCAAAGGTATAACATCTGTTTGCTGTGAGATTTTTAACTTTCATATTCATCGCCCTGAGAAAAGTAGACTAGAACTGTGCTTGTCAAATGACTTGGGGTTTTTAAAATTGTTTTTGCAGCTTTATTGAGGTGTGATTGACAAATTAAAATTGTATATATTTAGGTTGTACAGTGTGATTTTTTAAGGTACACAATGTGATGATTTAATATACACATGCATTATAAAATGATTCCTACAATCAAGTTAATTAACACATCCATCACCTCACATTGTGTGTGGTGAGAACACTTAAGATCTATTCTCTTAGCAAATTTCAAGTATACAATACAGTATTATTAACTGTAATCACCACGCTGTACATTGGGTTCCCCAGAACTTATCCATCTCATAAGTGAAAGTTTGTACCCTGTGACCAACATCTTCCCATCTTCTCTCCCCCCAGCCCTTGGCAACTACTATTCTACTCTTTGATCCTATGATTTTGACATTTTTAGATTCTGTATATAAGTGAGATCATACAGTATTTGTCTTTCTATACCTGGCTTATTTCATTTAGTGTAATGTTCTCCATGTTTAAATGATTTTGATCAAAACACAGTAAGAAAATTTTTTATATCACACCCAATACCTTCTGAAACAAAGTTTCACAAAATAAAACCTACCTTGCTACTTTAGATGTGCTCTGATAATTTTGATGTTTTATTTATATCTTTTTTCTTTTCCATTAAAAAAATTGTCGTGACCCACTAAATGATTTCAAGACCTAAAAACAAGTTGCAGCTCACAGTTTGGAAAACACTGACCTACAGATTCGTCTTCTCGTTGGAAGAGGTGGAATTTCTTCAAGTTCTAGTTGCCTTGGGGTATTTACTTCACCACTCCATATTGAAAAATGTATCTTTCAGGAACAATTTTATAATATTATAATGATACTAAAAAAGTATTTCATGTGTATTACTGTGTATACCAAAAAAAAACCCTAAAACTACCATTTGAAATAAGGTTTTTATTGCAAAATGCCTCAATCTTATGCCACTAAATTATGAACAGATGTTTAGAAAAATACTCAAAAGTTGTGGTCTGCCCATATGAATAAGGGCA